ATTTGATTACTGTCTGCATTCGTATCCGTTTACACGAAAAAATGCATGTATCCGTTTAATGAGGAAATGATTAATTAAAGAAATACTAGCTCGTAGAACTTACTGATCTATTAATTATTTGATATTTGTAAATAATAATAATAATAATAATAATAATAATAATAATAATAATAATAATAATAATAATAATAATAATAATAATAATTGAGGAAGGATGTTAGACAATAATAATAATAATAGTAATTGATGCTATAAATTAATTAACCACCAGAGAAACTGTATTACACCGGGTCTAGAATATAGTTTGCTGAGTAGAGAATGAATGGTAGGACGATAGGTGGAAACACTTGTAGTCTAATTGTTATCATGTAAGAGAGTGTTGGGAGCTCTTACAATATGAACTCTAGAGAGATAAAATTCGGTCCTCTTCATCTGAGGGTTACAGAGGTATTTAGAATGAAATGAAGGAGACAGGGCACCACACGTCCATATCAGCCTATGTTCTGAGACGACGCGAGGTGACTTCCTTTTGTCCCATAGCGTTTTGTCTTATTCCCTTGTCAACAGAGATTAAGGGAATATTTTTTCAATATTTCGTTGAAATCGTTCATTACCGTCCAACTAACTTTGGAGTTATTCGTGCCGACATTTTCAAGCCGTAGTAAGCTTCTCGATAGGTTTATCTCTGGTTTGTGTTCTGAAGGGAGAGAAGATCACAAGTTTGAAGTCATGTACCCTGACCGGCAGGTCTAGATATTATATTGTATCGGTCAACTTTGTCGATCTTGACCGATGGTCCATAGCTATTTTTAGTTTATCTCTTTCATTCAGAAAAGTTTGAATCTTGATCGGTCAGGTTCTGTGGACCTGGACTTGGACCGGGTCTTGAGTGTAGTGCACCAATCAATAAGCCCTCCACTTCTCGGTCTTGTAAATTTATCAAGGGCGGGAAGTGAAAACGCCCGTACGAGCCACGTCCACCGCCGCTGGTATGTCCGCCGTGCGGCGGTTGGCCGCCGGTTTGCTGCTGTCCGCTGATTTGGCGCACAAGGAGGGCTGTTCCGGCTCCATCAATAGCGGAATTTCGTTAACGATCAAAGATCATCAATACAGACCAGGTTTGAAGCAACGTGGGTAGCGATTGTTGGAATTGCGCGAAAGATGTTATCTTCTAGTATGCCTCGGAGGAGTTGAAGCACATGTTGCGATTCCGAGACCGGGGCATGAATATCATCAAACCAATTTGCAATATTCTTCAATGTTTGACAATAAGTGGCCATGGGCGTAGTACCTTTGACTGTGGTGCGGAACTGATGTTCAATTTGCATCGCACGCTCGTGTTTATTATCATGAAACAGATCATGAATCACACGTCAAAGATCGGTAGCAGTAGAAGTAGAGGAGATTATCAAATCAGAGACTTCATCCATGATAGTTGAAAGAACCCATTCTTGAATCAGGGCGTTAAGTTGAAACCAATCCTCATCATCACTAGAAGAGGGGGTAGTAGATCGAGAGAGGAAGCCATTGAGATTGAATCGGCATACCAGAAATAAGAAAAGTCGACTCCATTTTTTGAAATTAGGTTGGGAGAAGCTCAGTTTAATTGGGACGTGAATTTTGATGTTTGAGATTGTGGTGAAGGCAAGGTGAGGGGAGTTAAAGGAAGAGATAGATCTGTAGTTTTATCGGAGGCCGATGAGAAGGTGGCGAGGAGGCCGGCGCTAGAGTCCCGGCGAGAGAGAGCAGCCGGCGAGGGTACCGACGAGGGAGAGAGAGATAGTTGGCGAGGGGGGGGGGGAGGTGATGAGTCATTAGGGTTTTTCGAGAGGCTTCGATACAATGAAAATGAATATTTTACACGACTCATTTTGTGGGACTTTACATGTAAATATAAACAGAGAATTCAAATCCTACTAATGGTAGGATATTATAAAAGGAAACTAACTATAAAGAAAACTAGTTACACATGTTAACTACAATAATATAATAATAAATATATGAAATATATTTAACATTGCATTTGACTTTTCACGGTTTTTAATTCAAAAATTTGACCATTAATATCTCTATTTATTTATGTATATAGAATATAAAAACATGATATTTCAAAAGTACATTTAAAAGGGTAATTTACCTAAATAGGACTAAAACATAATGACTTTCTCAATATAAGACCATATGTTTTTATTTCCCAATGTAGGACCATTAGTCATTATATATTAGTCATTATTCAACTAAATGTCGAGCATCACTTGGACATTATTCTTCTCACTAGTCATTATTAAGTCCTACTTAGGGAATAAAAAAGTTCAAGTCCTACATTGAGAAATGATTTATGTTTTAGTCATATTCACCATTTAAAAAGTAATCTATTATTTATATTAAATTTCTATTGGAATTTAACTCAATTTGCTGTAGGAAAGTAACATTATGTTTAGGAGAGAGGTATAGTATAGTAGTATCTTTTACTAGCCTTGCCAAACCAAACCCTCTACTGTACGTACTCTTGTAGTCTAGCCATCTATAAATATATAAAGTCCATAAGCGTTAGTGGTACCCTGCAGATCACATAATTAAAAAGAGAGATTGAGAGAGAGAGAGAGAGAGAGAGAGAGGGGAGAGATTGTTTTCATGGCTTCTTTGCCTCATGGTTGTCTTCCGTGCACAAAAGTTTTCGGCTGGCTGCAGTGTGGATGGCCCTGCTGCCTCAAATGGATCTCTCACACTGCTCAAAGCAGATGTGAATGATCCCATGGCGCCTGGTAAAATATATAATTATTATTATTATTATTAAGACCTTTAATTAGCATATATGATATGATTTTTTTTATGTACGTAGTATTACTCCTTATATATCCAATCTGATGTGTATTGTAATAATGTTTTACATATGTATCCTGGTTGTTACGTATTGTTACGTACGAAGCAGTATGTCTGGATGGTACCCCGGGCGCATATATATATATATATATATATATATATATATATATATATATATATATATATATATATATATACCCTAGCCTCACCCACTCCATCTCCTTAATTTAATTGTGTCCAAATTTTATTTGTTATTTTACTCGATCTCCTATATGTTTCATTTAGACTTCTGCAACTGGAACCGCATTTATGTTCGTTATTGTGACGGATCTTCTTTTACTAGCGGTGTTCAAGGAGCTGATCCCGTGAGTTTATCGATCAAATATTCATTCCTCTTAATTAGTCTCTTTAATTTGTCACCTAATTATTATATAATTTTGCTCTCGTAATTAATCTTTATGAGCCTTTTTTGGATTAGCTATTTGGAATGAAAACTTTAAGTTCGTTCCATTATTTAAGTGTTTGTATAAATGTTTAATTTTTTGTGTTTTAAATTCTTAGTGATTCTCAAATGCATGCTTTGATTTTTCAGCATACAAATGTGACTTACCGTGGGGCCATGATCTTTCGTGCAATTATGGAGGACCTGCTAGCAAAAGGAATGAGCAATGCTAAAAATGTGTGTATATCATCCATACCATACCTTTCTTTAATTTATTATTGAGATGTTGATGACATATATAATTAAATGTGGTATAAATTAAAGTTGAGGTATGGCATTTAATTAATGGGGTGTTTGTACCCAAAAATAAATAATACGGATTAATAATAATAATGGGGTGCCTAGAGATCAGAGAATGAAATAGAGTTGGGTGGTTGGTGTAGCATTTATTTACTCATCAAACAAAAAAAGAAACTATACTACTTCACTTCTTTCCCACCAAAAGAGATTTTGGCTAGCAAAAATTATCAATTTAAAATTTTAGCTTATTATGACTATGATAATAAATGATTCGACATATATATATATATTTAGTTATATTTTAATTTATTACGGAGTAGTTGGTGTATAACTAAAGATAAAGTTATTTTGTCTAAAAAGTAGGCAGTATATATGGTATGTACTTTTTTTTAACATAAGAGGCTTCAATGTTGGAAACAACTCCCTCCGTCCCATAAAGTGTTATCCATTTTGACTAAAGTAGAAATTAAGGGAGAGATAATTTTGTGTTGACTTTCCAAAAATATCCTTGATGTGATGGGTAAAAGTAGGATGTGATGTGTAGATTATTAGGAAAAAGTATGATGTGATAGGTAGGGTTTGAAAAAGTAAGGGGTAAAAGTGGTTTTTTAATAGAAATGGGTAGGAGATTGTGGGACACAATTTTTTAAAAGGTATAAATCTTTTTGGGACGGAGGGAGTAATACGGAGTAATTCATTTGTATAGGCCATTCTTTCTGGAAGCTCTGCTGGAGGCTTAGCAGTGATTATACATTGTGATCGTTTTAGATCATTTTTACCCGCTTCTGCTCGGGTCAAATGCCTTGCTGACTCTGCCTTCTTTTTACACCCGTAAGATTTACCTTTACTTTTATCTCGGAATTTTTTTCGAGACAAAGAATTTAACATGACTTGTTTTATTTATCATTTCAACAGAGAAAATTTAATTGGGGACAAATTGTTTGACACAACATTTGAAGGGCTGGTCAACTTACAGGTACTTATATAACATTATTCCCTATCACTCATAAATCATAAAGGAAAAAAAAGTTGTTAATATTATTATTATTATTATTATTATTATTATTATTATTATTATTATTATTATTATTATTATTATTCTCATGGTCCAAGGAGGCGATGGGGACTTGACTATAGGTCTGGCCTCTATTAAAACCCTAATAAATGCAAAAGAGATAATAAGTGGATGGGGGCATTAGAAGTCACAACTCCCTTGCTATATATAGCACCCTTACTATAGAAAATAAGTTGTATCCTGGCTTATTAATTAATTAAGGTACGTAGACTAGCTAGCCGGAGATAAGAGGTCCCCAAGCTAAGAGCACTGGTAATGGTTATGAAGCCCCGGGGCTTCAAACTTTCTCTCTCTGCCACGTCAGCTTTAACTTACACCCAAAATTCACTGGAAATGGGTTTGAAGCCCCGGGCTTCAAAACTGGGCTTCAAACCTTCATTTTTTACATTTTTAAATATACATCTTCTAAAATTAAATTAATAAAATGTAATTAATTTATTATTTAATTAAATTGAAACACGAATAATAAAAAAATACATTCATTAAATAAAAAAAGCGTCAATAATTTAAAAAACGATACATTAATAAAAAAAACTAAGGTAAATTATATTTCTCCTTGATCTCTCTCATTCTTTGCTCATAGATCATTCGTCCAAACTCCGACAACGTCCCGGGGTCGGTTTGCATGACTTTCATCTCAGTCTCCTGCTCCTTTAGCTTCAACTCCTTCTCCTTTAGCTTCAACCTCTCTTGTTCTTGGAGATTGAACGCCCGAAGTTGTTCAATCATTGCCCGGCCGATTTCGTCGCGGGGAGAAGCGGAAACAGAGGCGGACCCTCCCGAACCCGAGGCAATGGATTTTGCCTTCTTTCTTCCGATCGGCCGTGGAATGGGGTCCTCGTCATCGGAATCCGCAACGTTGAAGGGAGGGATTTGATCGCTAGAACCGATAGTCTCGTCGACCTCAACCTCGGCGTCGACGGTGGATCTTTTCCGGAACGATCCGCCGTCGGGATTGTTGAGTTGTTGCCACTTCGGGGAACGACTCAAAATCCTCCAAAGATCGATGGGCACCTTGCCTTGGTTCCCGTCGTCTTGATACCGGGTCGTGGCAAGACGGAGAACATCGGCGTCGTTCGTGCCGCTCCTCCAGGACCGGGAGCATCCCTCGTAAACTCCCATNAACTTTCGGACTTTTTTGTTGATGTGGCTCCATTTGGAAGTGAGTTGGTCCCGGGTTCGGTAGGAGCCGTCCTTCTTCATCGCCGTGAAGAACTTCTCCTCGATACGATCCCACATCGCATCCTTCGTTTGCTCCGTACCTTTAAAAATGTATTACACAATTTTTTTAGACACCATTAAATATAATATATAAAAATAAAAACATAAATATATTACAAAAAATAAATTTTTAACCAATGATAGGATGCTCGGAGACGTCAACCCAAGCCGACGCCAATATGCACTCCTCCTCCGGCGTCCACTTTTGGATTGACCGTGCCGCCTCGGTCAACATGCTTTTGGCTTTGTGGCTTCTCCGGCGTGTACTTTTTTTCGATCCGGACGGTTCCGGTTGAGTCTCCGGAACCGAATCTCGGTCAACGTACCCCGACTGTTGCGTGTCGTACATCGGCAGTCGATCGCCCAACTCTTGGTAATACCACATCGCGGCGTCAACGGGCGGGAGATCGTCGGGAAAGAAGCCGGAGCCGGAAGGATTCATGTTGAAATTTGGGAGGGGGGAGTTTGAATTTTGAAATTTAAAAATAAGAAAGAGGAAGAGATTGAAGAGAAGGTGTGAGAGATTGGTTGGGGGTTTGAATTTATAGGAAAAAAATTTTTTTTTTTTGAAATGTGGGCTGCAACGGCTTTTTTAGCCGTTAGGAGGAGCCGCGCAAGAGTCACGCCGCGTCAAACGAATGACGCAGGCGCCCTCACGCCCGTTTCACGCCGGCGGGGGGCGGTGTTTCACGCCCCCGGGGCGTTAAACGCCCCGTAACGCCGGTGGGCGTGAGAGGTACTACCAGTGCTCTAAGTGGACAATTTATGGACATTTTGAAATTAGGAAAGAAAATATTGAAACATAATAAAAGGAACGATTAATTGATACGGAGTATTTATTCTGAAAAAATTAGAACAATATATAATGGACCAAATTTTTTTCCACTTTGGAACAGAATTTAAAAGTGATATGGACAATTTTTTTAGTTGACTATAAATGAAAGGTGAAAAAATGTATCTCTTCGTCAAATTAAAGTTTAAAAAGTTTGATCAAGAAAGTCAATTTTAAGTCGGAGGGAGTAATTATTTATTTTAGGAGCGATCGATAAGTAATATGCAACATATGGCTAGCTAATACTAGGATGAAATTAAAAGAACCCACCGGAATTCTATGGCTAGCTAATACATTTCTCTCATTTCATGATTGTTCTTGTATACATCATTTGCTTAATTAAGTTATTAACAAAAATAATGAATCACCTTGCAGGGATCTGCAGCTATGCTACCATCGGCTTGCATTGCAAAAATGATTAAACCAAGTTTGGTATGAATTAATGATCAAAAAAAATAATCTATTTTAAATATATAATTAATTAAAATAGTTTTTTTTTGAATAATTTAATGCTCCCTTCGTCTCATCTTTTTTTTCATTTCATTTTTCACTGTCTCTAATGCAATACTTATGTTATCTCAAAATAAATGTATTGATATGATATTAAATATATATACCTTAATTAAATACTACTCCGTAGTACTCCCTCCGTTCCACAAAATCCTTCCTCTTTCGTTTTTTTTGCTTTCCACAAAACACTTCCACTTTCTATTAAAAAACCACTTTTACCCCTACCTTTTCATACCCTACCTATCACATCATACTTTTTCACTAATAACCAAACTATCACATCTTACATTTTCCCATCACATCAGGGGCAAAATTGGAAAGTCAACCAAAATTACATTTTTTTTATTTTTCCCCAAAGTCAAAACCGGAAGGGTTTAATTTGTGTCCAGTGTTTAATAAAAATGTTGACGAGACGTTGGGAGTAGCTAGTATATAGGCATTAATTACTCTTTTTTTTAAAAAAAAAAAAATTTATGCCTTCAAATTAAATACTTATAAAATGTTAACTGGCGGCGATTTAACTTGAATTGGCAGTGCTTCTTCCCCCAATACATATTGCAAACTGTGGAGACCCCATTGTTCATGGTCATGTCTTCATTTGATCTAGTTCAGGTGAAGATTTTTTTATAAGTTCTTTATTGTCACATATTTACGTTTAGGGTCCGTTTGGTATAAGGAATTAGTAGAATTGAAATTGAATTGGAATTGGAATTCCATGAGATTCAATTCCATAGAATTGAATTCTGTCAATTTCAATTCATTTTTTGCACTATCAATTCCAAATCCACATAAATTTTGTGCTACCAAACACCAGAATTGGAATTGAAGTCTCCAATTCCAATTCCATAGTTTGAATTTCATGTACCAAACGGGACCTTATGTACGTTTCAATTAATTATATTTCACCGGGGTCAAGCCCTATATGATGTTAAATTTACACGCCGTAAATCTAATTATTTTGTTACATTCAACTAACTACTAGATCAAATTCAACTTGTCCCGGAGCACGAGAGTTGTCTGTTGAATAAGAACTGTACCTTGGATGAGTTGGCCATGATTGAAGGTAAATCATTTTCTCTAACCAAACAAGTTAATTAATTATTTCATTCGTTCCAAGAACTCATCTTTTCCCATTCTTTTTTTTCTAGTCTCACAAACTCTTTTTCTTTTCTATTAAAAAATAATCTTTATCCATATTAACTCTTAACTTAGGTATCAAATCGTACATTTTTACTAATAATCTACCTATCACACCCTACTTTTACCCATCGGATATTTTTGGAAAGTCAAGACAAAAATACTTCACTCTTAATTTTTTTCAAAAAGTCAAAATGGAAACATAGGACGATCTTGAGGACATACCTATCCTAAAAATATGTTTTGCGTGATAATAATAATAATAATAATAATAATAATTAATAATAATGCAGGACTAAGATTGGATCTACTTGCTTCATTGCCAATTGCTAGTCCATCATCATCCAGAGGCATGTGGATCACTAGCTGCATGACTCATGAACTAACAGTTTACTCTTGGATTGCTCCAACAATGTTGAAAATTGATGGAAATCGGGTAATAATACTATATAATACTCCGTAGTATTTCATTATTTTTATGTTTAACACTTGAATCTATATGAAAAGATTAGCTAGCTAGCTACCTGCTAGTAATCTCTGCATCACTGCATGCATGCATGGGATATTAATATGAAAATTATTGAAGCAACTCTAATGTATTCAAACTTTGTGTTTTGTTTTGCAGACATACCCCCAAGTGTTTGGTGATTGGTTCTATGATAGACTGCACACACAAGTGATAGATATGTCCCCGGAAGCTAAGAACTGCACTCAGTATGGAATCCATATTAAACAATAGTAGATATATATTGTTAGTCAATAATACTAATATTACTTTTAGCACTATTCGTTATGGTAGTGTTTGATTACTAGTCAGCTTCGTATTTCTATTTATGATAAATGTTGTATTTTAGTTAGTCTTTATTCTCTACTTCTATTCGTGTTAAGAGTCTCTTCTATATATATACTCTATCATGTACTTCATAATTCAATGAACAACATTATTCTTCCAATATTTTAACATGGTATCGGAGTCACGCTCTTGGTGATCTAAAAGAGTTCTTTACTTCCACCGGTGGCAGCTCCACCTTATTCACCTTTATTTTCTTTTCCTTTTGTTATCCTCATATTAACTTCTTCATTCAAAAAAAAAAGAAAAAAAATTGTTTTATTAATTATTATTTACTCTAATTATTGTTTACTTTTCCTGATCATTTTTTATTGATTATTATGTTATGTAATTATTTTTTTGACGAAAGAAACTGAACGGAGTTGAAAAAAATTAGACAAGTTTAATAATTACTGCCTTAGTCCCATAAAAATCGACAAGCTTTACTTTTTTACTTAGTGAAGAAATTTTAATTATCAACTAAATATAAATTACTTTGATTTTTAATATAAAAAAGAAATCTCGAGTAAAAAAATATGAAAATACCAAAATAGAAGTCTAAGTCTTTTAAGACCAAAATAAGAGTATAATGACAATTTGTCGTAAGAATACGCATTGACAGTGTGTTGAAAAAGTGATAATAGTGTAATACGGAGTATATAAGTGTGATCAGTCAACCATCGGTGATCTGCGATGGCACTCTGGTGGTCGGCAGCGACAGATGGAAGTGTGTCGATGATAGTGAGACAGTTATAATATGACAATGTGATGAGTGTGACAGTGTGAGCTTCTATTTTGCTCTTAAAAAACTTATGACTTCTATTTTGATATTTTTATAATAGGTTTTTACTCTTATCTAGGGAGTTCTTCCATATAAAAATGATATCATTAAATAGGGATTTGTTTAACTTCGAAAGTTCTTTAAGGGGAGTGTATTTTATAGTTGACTCTCCAATTTTGCACTTAAATGTCATGAATAAAAGTAAAATGTGATGTGTAGATTTATAGAGAATATATACAAATATGTGATATATAGTTAGAGTAATACTTATTAGTAGAGGTAAAAGTAAATTTTTAATGGAAGTGAAAGTGTTTTGTGAAAATAAAAAAAAATGTAAGGAGATTTTTTTTTAAACAGAGAGATTAAAAAATCATCAGAAATATATTTCATTGTATTAATATGGAATACAAATTTGATATAGTTGATTATTACTCCGTAGATTTGTTCACGTCAACTTAAAAAAATCATTGTACTAGACGATTACATATTCTAAAGTGAAGGGATATACATACTATTAGGGGAAAATATGAAAGTAAGTTACTTTCTTATACTCCATATATACTTAAAATTATGTGATTCTTTCAATATCAATAATCAATTGGATATCCCTCAAAAAAATCAATTGGATGGAGAGAGTAATACATTAATTAATTAGTTTAATATTTTAAACTAATGGTAATTGAATTTTATTTTTGTGATTGAAAATAATTTTTTATTATGAAATTATTTCAATTTTATTATTATTTTATTCACATATATTGGTGATGATGATGATAATGTCAAGGAATCAACTCAACCAAAAGCTTATATTCTAACATGCCTCCTCACGTGCAAGCATAGTCTTTTTCAAGACTTGCACGTGAAACCTTAATTTTTTTAAAATTAGGTGGCGCTGAGTTTCGAACGCGTGAC